TCGCGATTTTCTCAGCTCACAGAGCGTTTCAGGCGATTTCCTGCCGCCTATAAACTCGACACAAAACTTGCTCTCTGGCATTCCTATCACTGTTTTAGTTCCCCTAATCTCAAACACATCATTTACACAAATTTCGTGTGTTCTACATTTATGTGCCATATTTCTGGTACAGGTCGGAGAGGTCGGAGGTCGGAGATTTTATGGTGTGGAGCAGCCGAGTACACTGCCGCGTAAGCAAAGCAGAGCCCGACACACTTAGGTTTCGACAAGTAATTACTCGAGCGGTGAAGAGATGCGATCCTAACCTACCGAATTATGCGATCCTAAAGCGTGTCGTTAACGCAACTTTGTCCATTCGTGAAATCAGTGCTTAGGAGACCTACTATAATTTTCTGAGAGAGGTTCCTCTTTACGGAAGTCTCGGCAAGTTACGCAAGTTAAGACAATGAGGCATAGCTTGAAATATTACCGAGTAGACGGCTCTGAACTATTAGATATCGAGGAGAGTGTAAGCCGCAATGCCTCGATTCGTATTGCGCAGGTAGAAAAAGCTTACATGAATCGCCCTCGTAATGAGCTATTCGATGATATGACATTAGCGACATTCGTCGAAAAATACGAGTTAGTCGATAGTATTCCTACTAGAGCTGAAATTTCTAACTGTTGGAGGCGATGTGGTGGCTACGGGCTCGTTATTCTTCGTAGCAAAGCTCATGTAGTTCGTGGGACTCCATGGATCGCACCGGATTCCACAAACGCGAAGTTTTGCTTTGCTGAAATCTTTCTCCATAAATCATGCCGGACGTTAGAAGAGCTACCCCAATCAAAAGACGAATGCACTGTAACGTTTGAGGAAGAGCAGCATAATGTGTTGGAAAGTGAGCTCCGCCACGAATCTAGCCTGAAATTATCACGGCAGGCCGAGCTTGATGCCCTAAAAAATTCGAGAGCTACTCAGGTGCACACTACACTACCTTCCTCCGAGTACGTGTTTGTAGGTGATGGGCCTGAAGATGAGATATGCCAAGTTGCACCAGACGACGAAAATACAAATGAAACTTGCACTAGTACTAATGATTCTCGTTTGTCTCAATGGACTGCTAAGCGATCGTACACGAGTGAGGATGTCACTAAGGCCAAGACGTTCATCAAAACGCACGTAAAACCTTGGATAAAGTTGCAAAAAGAGATCCGTAGCTAGTGAAAGCACCGCCTATTCAGAACCAAAAGGAAATTGCTATCAGTACCTGTCAATAGTAAGGTACAAATCGCCGTAATGGATGAATCCCAATGGGTACCATTTGCATTTGCCATGGTCCAATTTCGTGATCAGCTTCAGGCATCGGTAAATAATACAACGCGTGAGCCCAGGCAAATGATTATCCAGGGCGAAGGAGGAAGTGGAACGAGCTGGCTCAATAAGCACATAGTTAAGGACGTCCACAACATCTTTTGTGAGCACTCAGCTACTCGACGATCTTCAAAGCGAGTGCTGCTATTAGCTCACCAGGGTACAGCAGCTTTCAATATTAAAGGACAGACGACCTGTTTGGCATTAGAGCTAACATCTTTCTCTCGAAATGCATTCTCAAGTCTGTATTCATCTTTGACGACCCAGAACGGAGGTGCAACAAAACTCAAACGCCTGCAAGAACAGTACAAAGATGTACAACTTGTCATTATTGACGAATTTAGTGTAATATCGTGCGGTATGTTGTACTGGATCGATGAAAGAATGCGTGAGATATGGCCCCAACACAGTCAGCAACGTTTCGGAGGTAGAGATGTAATTTTTACTGGTGACTCAGCGCAGTTAGATCCTGTAATACCACATGCTTTAGCGACACCATCCTCTAAAATCAGTCGTGTTCAAGTGTTAGGTCGCGAAATTTGGGAGGAGATTTCGATTGTATGGACATTAACTAGTCAGAACCGAGGAAAGGCTGACCCAGAGTGGTTTGAAGCGTTGCGCAAAGCCAACGAAATTCCTACTTGGGCTGTAGAAGCGAAGCACATAGCGTATTTGAATGCCGAAGTTGCTGAAGCGAATAGCCATAGCCTCAAAAGCTGTTCTAACCCGATAATTAATATTCGCTCTAAACATAGTGTTAAGTTAAAGCGACTGGCTAAGCACAGAGACGTATCACCTAGCTCGAACGAAGCTCTTTTACAAGACGCCGAATCATCCAGCTCAGATAGAGATCGTGTCTTTCGAAGGCATCCCAAAATTGCTATTGGTGCTCCAGTTAGCCTGCCCTACAATATGTAACAAAGAGCAGGTCTGTGCAGAGGGACCAGTGTAGTAGTGTACGACTTTTGCAATGAGCTTGAGCTGCCAATATTACTCGTACAGATTTCAGACGAGTACATGGGGCCCTCGTTCTTGCTAGATGTACCAAACCTTGTGCCTGTCGTTCCTAGAAAAATTAGCTGGGGAAAGAAAACTAGCAATCTTACAGTATTCCGCGAAGGGATTCCGGTACGACTCGCATATGCACTTACTGTTCATAAATTGCAAGGCTTAACTTGCGATAAAGTCGTCTTTCATTCTTTTTCCATTCCTAGCGCAGCTTTCGCTTACGTTGCGATATCGCGAGCGCGAACTCGTGAGGATATCGTGCTTACAGCACCAGTGACTTTACAACAGTTGCAAACTTCAGGTGATAAACAACTGTCCTTTATTAACGAAGTAAAAATAATTCAACAAGCAGTTAGCTCAACGAAAGCAAAAGCTTCGATGAAGCTGCTGGCATTACAGCACAATCGAGCGTCGGCACCGCGGTGATTCAATTTATTATCTTGTTGGACAAATTGCGTAATAGTAGTAACTTTACTCAAGATTACGTTGTCAAACTTGAAAACAATTGCTATCATAGCTTTCACGCTTGTTTGTCTCACAAATATCTGGAAACCACAGCGAACGGCTAACGCTTTGAAGCTTGACCTGGCCGCCTTCTGAGAGGCGAACTCATGTTTAGCCAAATTTTCTAGACGGTCATACACCAGACCGTAGTTTGCAGCTGTAGAATGCTCCGAGTCCAAGACAACGTTATCTCGTAGCAGGCCCAAGTCACGCGCGGCCTGAACATCGGATGCATCAAGCACGAATTGTGCTTGACCGTACGTGGATAACGACGGATGTTTGCGGTTTGTGGCAGGGAACGTCGTTTCAAATGTAGAGAACGAAGGAAGAGACAAAGTTACTTATGGCTATGTGGGATCTATAAAAAAACGAGGAAGCCACAAGGTATAAAAGACATTTAGTTTCTAATGAACAGTATTGATTGAATAGTAAAGTTGTGTAAGTGTTTTTTGGTTTGTCACCGAAAAAGTTGTTTTGTACATGTTGTTGGAAAAGCAGTTTGCATATCTTTGTAAATTAATTATTTAACACTTACAGTTTCCAAACTTAAGTTTACTGGATTTTTTTTATTCAATTACTCTCTGAAAATGTTTACTGGATCGGTAGCTCTATCCCAGAACTATTTCTACAGACTGAGAGAAAACAGTACTTTGTACTGTTTTCTGGAAATTCCTCGGCTGACGCTAGCATCGTAAGCGTGCTTTTCCATCCGGCCACACAATCAAGCTCCGGTGCGATGAACTTTACGTTTACCGACGTGCACATCTCCTGCAAAGCCTCTAGCTATGAAGGCGAATCAGATAATTTCTTGAGAAAAGCACAAATCACGCCGATACTGTCATCCATGAGTGGACACTGCTTCAACCCCTCTTTAACAGCTAATTGCAAAACGTGTACAAGGCACCGCACCTGTATAACCCTTGGCTCAGACGGCACATCCGATGAAGATGTAGATATCGCGTCAAACTTTGATGGAGGCACCGCTTGTTGCGCGTAGGTATCAATCTGGTCCTGCAGTACTGCATTAATTGTTTCAATCATCGTTCCGTTGTTGCTGGCGTTGTCTGTTGTAATAGCCCACAATTTTAAGTACAAAGACCCATGCATCACCCGCAGTGCATCGACAAGGTGATGCGGAAGACGGGCTCCGGTATGAGCATATTCAACCCTGGTGAATATAACCGTAACTGTCTGAATTAGCCAATCTTCACTAATCCAGTGTAGCGTCACCACCATTTACCCCTTGTTTGCCGCTGACGTCCACATGTCTGTCGTGGCGCAGACCCGGCACCTTTTATTGCCACAAAGAATTCCATACCGCACCAGCCCTTTTTCGCACCTCCAACGCTCTATAATTTTTCCGAAGTGTCTTGCGTAGTGGTGGCATGTACTCCGAACAGAGCGTGTTGCAGAACAATCTGAACACTTTCTTTTCGACAAGGCACAAAGGTAGTGTGTTGAATACAATCAGGGTTCGGAGTCAGCAGTAGTCTTGTCAAACTTACTCTGCCTCCCATGCCGCTCGAATCCGAAGGCAAGTAAATCCGTCTGTCGAGCACCGTTCGTACCCTCCACAGCTTCGTCATCTCCGCCCCCATGTTCCTCTTTGTGTCATTTCTGTAAGTGCCGTCGAAATGTGGTGTGAGCGCAGCTGTCCCAACCTGGAGCGGTGTCAGACACGTGAACGCGCCGTCCGCGTTTGAGCGAATGTAGGTCCATATATCTCAGTGCCTCAGATTGTTAGTGTGCCTTATATTACTTGACCCGGTATTTGTGCTTGACTCGACCTGACTCTCCATTGCTAATAGTGAAAAATGCGGATGAAGTGAATTAAGAAATGAGATGCTGGATCGCAGAGGGGCCCTGTGCAGACCGCACAGAGCAGGAGGCGCTGCACAGCTGCGATTTACTGAAATAATGAGGTATGACGCACCAACTACACATCTGATCGGATCGAATCCGATCGAATTCGATCCAATCGGATCAGATCGATTTCTTCTTCAACCACAACACACATACCTGGCAGTGTAGCCGGGCAGGGCGAAGTGTTGAATGCCTTGCATCGTCTTCTGTCTTCTCCATGACGTTGCCTAGCGCTTGTAGTTAGCCTGGAGACTCTCCAGGACCATTTTATTAAGTGAACTGCATGCCGCAGCCATAAACTTTTACATTTAATGAAGAGTCATGTCGAATAATTTATTTGAAATTGAAGGTACTGTAGCATAATTGGTTAAAAAGACGAACAAGTGACCAATCTAAGTCTTTACACCCTAATACCTCTATAGAAATCCGTCATTGGTCTGTTTCAATACGCTTTCCTGTAAAAATTCATATCAACCAAGTTGGATTCGATCTACCGATCAGTCGGATTCTATCGAAGCAGATCGAAAATCTGATTGAGCCAATCGTATCCGTCAGAAGATTGATCGGGTTGTGTGTATTACTACCCACCCCTAGGTCACGTGCACTCCAACAATTTCAAGCGTGTCGTCTGAATGTACGTAAGGGATCTGTCTTCTGGGTTGATCTCCGACGTGATACGTTTTCATTGGTCAAAACACCTTTGTCAAACCATTTGTTATCAACCAATCAGATCTTCCAACACGTGTCATGCCAGTCAAACTCCCCCCTCCACCGCATAGAGTGACCTACCTACCAAACCCGTTGTAAAGATGAGCACCGAAGAGGTCGTCGCCGTGGAGGAGCAGGAGATCCCGGACGTGATCGAGCGTCTGCCCAAGCCCGACAAGGCCGAGCATGAGGCCAAAATCTCTGCGCTAGATGGCGCCATTAAGAAGCTCCAGGCGCGCACCAATGTAATCCGCGCCGAGATGGATGCACTCAAGACGAACCGCGGCGGCTACGGCGGCCAGATTCAGGAGGCCAAGGCCAAATTCGCGGCTCTGCGTGCTGAGAAGGACAACCTTTTTCAGCAGCGCAACCAGATCACGGCCCGTCTGCGTCAGACCCGCGACGAGAAGGACTCGACTATCAAGCAGCAGCGCAGTGTGCGTGCCAACCTCAAGTACGGCTCTGTTGCCGAGTTCGACGCTGCTATCGCCGAGCTTAAGCACAAGCAGGAGACCAGCTCCATGTCTTTGAACGAGGAGAAGCGCGTGATCAAGGAGATCGAGCAGCTGCAAGCTCAGAAGCAGCAGGTCAGCGGCTTCTCGGACGACCAAGGAGTCGTGGAGAAGCAGAACGAGAGCATCAAGGAGATTCGCGCGCTTCAGACCAAGAAGAACGAGGAGATTGACGCCATTCAGGAGAAGCTGAACGAGCAGAAGCAGGCGCTGGACGAGCTCTACCGTCTCAACGAGGAGGAGAACAAGAAGGACAAGTTCCCTGCGCTCGCTAAGGAGCGTAAGGAGATCAAGGAGCAGCTGGACGAGAAATTTACGGCTATTAAGACTCTGCGTAAGGAGTTCAAGGAAGCCAACGACAAGTACTACAACAACATCCGTCTTGTGCGTAAGAAGAAGGAGCTGGAGCGTCAGAAGGAGGAGGAGGCTCGCAAGGCCGAGTACGAGGCCAAACTGGCGGATTACGAGAAGGAAATGGCCAAGATCCACCCGTACCAGGACGAGATGGACCTCTGTGACGCCCTTGTGAGTTTCTTGGAGAAGACGTACGCAAAGGAGCTCAAGGAGGAGCAGGACGAGAAGGCTGCTGAGACCACGGCCGCTCCTCTTGAGCTGGACGGTATGAAGCCTCTGCAGCGGAAGGAAGAGGACTTTATGATGCTTGGAGGAGGCAAGAAGGGCAAGAAGGGCCGCAACGGCAAGAAGACCAAGAAGGCGTCCAAGCTGGTGCTGCCTCTGGCTCAGATGGAGGCGTTCAGCACCATTGGCCTGCTGCCTCCTGCATCTGCTGCTGCTGTCTCGGAGTCTTTGGCTGCTGTGAAGACCAAGAAGGTCTGGTTCAACGAGCAGACGTCTCGTCCGAAGGCTGGCAAGGTCGTTGAGCCTGCTGCTGAAGCTGCTCCTGCCAAGGTCGTGTCTCCGAAGAAGAAGAGCAGCAAGAACAACAAGTTCAACGCCAGTGACAAGGACGCCTTCCCGTCGCTCGGTGGTGTCGCTGCTGAGCTCCCGTCGTGGGGTCCGGGTATGGCTCCCGCTGTCGCTGAGTCTGCTGTCGCCGCTGAGTTCGCTGAGGCCGACGTCGTGACGGAGAGCGAGTAAAAGCCTCAAGGTCTTGAGCTCATCTGGACAGAACAGAACGGATCCAAACACGTAGAAAACAAGAGCGACGCTGACTTGTTCGCCAAGGAAGCACTCGAGGCGTCACTTGCGTGTCTGCTTCCAACTCAGGTAGTAATACAGTAGATACTTCCAACGTTTCATCACGTACTGTTATCGACCTCCGCAAAGAGCTGCTGCATTCGCTCGTTCTTGAGCTTCTCGCTGGTCAGCATTATCTGCAGCAATTGGTCGGCCAGTCGGTCCTTGAACAACTGCGTTTCCTCCACCTCAACACGCGCCAGTTGAGCGTCACGTTGGAGTCTTCTGGTTCGTTGCAGAAGAGGCCGAAGGAAGCGATCGTTGTAGGCTACTGAACGCTGCAACAAACGCAGTTCTGCTGCCAACTGAGGCACCAGCATCTCGAGATGTTTCAAGTTGCGTTGAGTTTCTTCGACTTCTTCGTCATCTGTGTCGTTGTCACCCCCATACAGCTCGTCTCCGGTGTCCAGATAGCTTGCAAACAGCGGCAGACGCTCGAAACAACTGGCCATACGCTCATTTAGGAACTCGAACGGGTTCATCCAGAGCGTAAAACCTGACGAAGAAGTGCTTGACGAGGTGGAGGCTTCGGTGATCGCCGTTGCCATGAGCTTGCGGAACTTTGCGCGCAATCGGTTCTTGATCTCCATGCGCTCGTTCAACTCGATCGCAGCTTCCGACAACTCGTACGCGATGGCGTAGCGCACGGACATGGCAGTGGCTTGTGCTTTCTCCGCTAACTCGATTTTATGTTGAAGGAACACCGTGTCACTTGCTACATCCGTGTCGAACCGTTGGAGCTTGGACCGGATTAATTCGAGAGACTTTTTCTTGGCTGCGATGTCCTCGTGTTCGAGTGTAGGGAACAACATGCGATGCTCTTCCGATAGCGGCGTTTGCTGCAAGCGAAGACGAAGATACTGGAGAGATTCAAGCAAAGAATTAGCTGGTAGTTTGTAAAGATGATGAAGGGGGTCTCTACCTCGAGATGCCGCTCTTCCTCTAGCTGTTGAAGACTGGAACGAGTCACTTTGTAGCTTAGTGCACGCTGTAGCAACACATCAGTGCTGAGTACTTCTTCCAGACCCAGCTTGGGGTTCTTTCGGAAAAACTCGCTGCACCCTTCGAGATCCTACACAGCAATTGGGGTCAGTATAAGGCAACTCTTTAGCTTCAATGCATTTTGTTACCATGGCGAGAAGCTTTGGCCGCAACTCGGCGGTGATGGCGAGGGCGACTCGATAAACAGCTTTCCAACCATCCAGGTAGACGAGATCCCACACTCGGATAAGCGTTGGGATAGTAAGCACACGAGCAAATATCGTCACAAACCACTACAAAGCAGCCGTGTTAAATCACTCAGATAGACACGATAGACTCGCTTTGGGGATGGATTCATTACCTGTGTGATTAAGATACTGGAATGCATCCCGATCTGTCGGAAATGGGCTGATAGGTCGTAAAAGTGAAGCTTGAGAAGTTGCTGGAATAGGTAGATGCATTGCGATAGCCTGTACATCATCGTGGTCTTCCGTATCAGTAAGAAATCTCCACTAAAGACCAAGGGTGGACGTACCCTGGCATCTTGTGTTTCCACAGCTCGGCCATTCCTTTGCGTCGGATCAAGGCAAGTGTTAGCCAGAACGCTGCTTCTTGCATCGAGAGGCCGTGGAGATCCAAATCTGAAATATCTTGAGCGTCTTTCATGGCGATTAGCAGCGCAGCAACAACATAATTCATCCCCTTCAAAGACAATCGCATCAGTTCTAGCACTCGAAAAATATCATCAAGCGTCCAACATACCTGGCAATAGCCAACGTCATCTGCATAATGCGCGACCGCCTTCAGAACATTCCCAAGCAGACGTCTACCATCACCTAAAATATCGACACAATATGATTAAAATACCAACACAATTTTCTTCCCTCCTGTTATCAAATCTCACCTTCCTCAGAAAATAAGGGATTCGCAGGGAAAGTTCGCTCGATATCTCGGTCGATTTCTCCTTCCACGCCCGTGGTCTCCAGCGTCGCCTTGCCCTCCAGACTCTCAATCCCCGCCAGCTTTAACCCACTCGATCAGTTCCTCATTTTACTAGTACAACATATCGCCAACTTTTGGCCTTACCTTGAGGTAGAAATCTCGCCTGCTTGCTCCGTCTGGGACCTCCTTCATCAGCGTCGACACGTCCCCAGCTCGCAGCCAATGGCTTTAACAACATAGTCAACATGTTAGGTACAATAACAATTATCTAGTAAATATTCCAATACACACCAGAATCTGGAGGCAACAGGGAATCCGTTGGCTCGAACTGCCAGTCGTCGCAGCTTCTTCTGTTCCACGAGCGACCGCAGAGTTTTGTTGACCGTCGCAATGACCTCCAAAGTATCAATCTGCAATGTCAACGTATGACGAAGTCAATACAGTGCAAATTACGCCTCGTCCTAACGAGAACAGCGTTGCGCATTACGTGGACCCATCGATTACGGATAAGAATGGGCAGGACCTCTCCAAACCTCGCGTCGAGATCGGCATCCGCCGATGGACTCATATTGAATTTGCGCAATTGATTGCGATCAGATTGATAATATGATGTACGATACACTACATTATTTTGTTTTTGCGGTCACTATGAAGGCGAATGAAGGCGTCGTTATCGTACGTTCACAGACACTATAGTTAAACACACTGATATTGTTACTCAAGCAGTATATTATTCTGTATCTGTAGACCGGGCAGCAGGTGACGCTTGTTCCATACGAGATGGAGCATGTGCCAAAGTATCACAATTGGATGAAAGACCCATGGCTACAAGGCAAGCACCATAATGCACAAATTCTCTGGAGGTTATTTATTCATTTCAATATTTGTTTACTGCATGTTTGTTGCAGAGATGACAGCGTCTGAGCCGCTGTCTATCGAGGAGGAATTCGAGATGCAGAAGTCGTGGAGAGATGACGCCGAGAGTACGAGCTGCAAGTAAAAAAAAAAGCGTTTGAACTGGAGAGTGACAAGAAATTTGATCGTGTTTTAGAGTGCACTTTTATCGTGTTGGCGAGAGATGAGAGCGATGGCAATTCTGGAACTTCGTACGTCGACGAGAACGCGATTGACCGTGAGTTTGAGATAACTGGTGATGAGATGGAGTACGAATTCCTGACGTAGCTTACGTTGAATGTAGGCATGGCTGGGGACGTGAACTTGTTCTTCAATGACTATGACGACCCCCACGCGTGCGAGATGGAGATCATGATTGCAGAGGAGAAATATCGTCGGAAGGGTTTCGCGATGGAGGCGGTGAAGCTTATGATGGCCTATGGTATGGAGGATATTGCTGCAATGTCATGGGCTGGTTGTGACTAATGATACTTGCGTTACGCAGCCACGTCGAAACTCAACGTGACCCGGTTCATCTGCAAGATCATAGAGACGAATCATGCTTCAATCCAGCTCTTCGAAAAGTACGATATGCTGATGGTTTTGCTCACCACCAACGGCTAGTTTTAACTCGGTTGTGCGACTGCAGGCTGGGGTATGAGAAGTACAACTACGTCGCTGCTTTCAACCAGGTTGAAATGGAGTTGGTCACCAAGGACAAACGTGCGGAGCTAGTGGATGCCGTCTTGAAATCTGCTGACATCCATACACCACAATAGCGATGACCACCGATACTTTCTCAAACGAAGATACTACGTAGTAGTTCGCAGGCACAATAGACTTGATTTCGTCACGGCTATCGGTAGTTATCGAAACCATTTGATTTACAGCATCAATGCACTGAACTGATGCCTTATTGCTGGTATCTTACAGCAAGCATTCGAACCACTTTAAGGGCTTCTTCGCGCTGCTGAACAACCCTTCTCCGTTGTGGAATGTCGTGTCGGCATGATTCAATGCAGCAGCATACCAGGTGGTCGAGTATGTGGTTTCAAACGATGAGTCATCCAAGTTTCCAGTACAGCTCTGGAACTCAACCTAATATTCACACAACAACATAACACACTTGTTAGTGCATAACAACCACCACTAATCACTTCGAAGGTCAGTTTTCACTCACGATGCCATCATTCTTGGACGAGTGGTGCGGGATCAGCAAACCTCCAGCCAACAGTCCCGCATACTCGCTCGAAAGCAAGCCAGAGTACGTCGTGCCACACATACTAGCAGTCACGTATTTCTTGTGGACAGCCTGGGCCGCTGCATAGCGAGCAGAGCATTCGTCATCACAGTAGTCACCACCATCGTACACAAGTGACCGGCGAGTTGTGGTACCAGGACATTGACCGATAAGCCCGCCGAGCTTAGCCAAAATGTCCTGGAACAAGTTACCGCCATCGCAGATCTGATGGATAAAATCCGAGCCCATACTTCCCTTCATAGGACCGCTTAGATCCACCCAGTCAACGTTGCTACCGATCGAGCACTTCCCAGTCGCCAACGCACCCGCGAGCATGTTGTTACCCATCGAGTGAGCCACAATAATTAGATCCTTAATCTCAGTCGAACCGCTACTGGTGGAGCCTGTACTCACTTCCATCGCGGCGTTGCACGCTTTCTGCTGTAATGTATCATTGTACCATTCGTAGTCGACCGTGTTTAGAATTGCGAAGCTGAACGATGAGCAGCACGGTGCATGTTCCTTGATATCTCCGAAGAATGAGTAGCTATCAACGATACCGCCGTCTGCCTCGACATCCATGCCGTGGAAGAATAGGCATGGACGAGGTGTGCTCTGGCAAGTGCACGTAGAGCTGGCGAGATGCACTGCAGCGGCTTCTTCTTTTAGTGCCCGAGATCGTGACGTGGTGATGCCATACAGCTGACCGAGAGACGACAGCGCCGCTGAGCCATCCGACACGGCGCTACAGTCGCTTGGAGCGTTCGTCGGCTTGGTGATCGTCACGTCCTCGGATAGATACTCGAACGAAATACTGAGATCTTCTCCATACACCGTGAAGTTGACATCATCAGCACCCGTACACAGCACGTAGGACTCGCCAGCAAAGGTGGTGCTGAGCCAGGTGCCGTTGTTGCACGAGATATCCTGGTCAGTGTTGACGGTGGAGACAGGAGTTGCTGACGCTATGGCATCCACGATCTCAGGTACGCTCGGGAACAGCTCCGTGGGCAGACATGTTGTGGAGTCTGAGGTGCTGTTAGTGACCTCGTGGTACGGGGTGCTGTTCACGACGTACAAGTTGTGCGTGGTGCCGTCCTGCTCGAAGGTGACCTTGCCATCGAACGACACGTTGGCACCGCTCAGAACGGGCTTGACGTAGACGTCGAAACTGGAAGAACCGTAGACTTCCATGGTGGATCGCTTGATGTTGAAGCCGAGCTTGATGGACGGAAGCGAGGAAACTGAAGCGACGGCATCGAAGCTGATGAGGGCAGCAATTGCTGTGAGTGAGCATGCAGCCTTCATGTTCTACAGGCGAATCTTGCGAGGAATCCGAGTCTTGAGCTTCACCAAGCAAGTTGCGTAATGAAATGGAGCTGCTGCGGTCTCGTGGAGTGACTGCCATCCTGGCGAGCTGAGATTGCACGGTGGTTCAAGCGCTGATAACGTCGTTATCACGGCAGTTGTGACGGCGGGCAGCAGACGCCTGTCAAACTACCCTTTCAAAACGATCACTTCAACTAAGCAAAACTTGAAGATATAATATTTCAGGAATGATTGATGCTTGATATTGTAAAGGAAGGTGATATGTGGTGACTGGTTACTCATTTTTCACAGGGTCTGCTGACAAGTGGACAGGCTCTGTCCTTTTTCTAGAGAACATAAAAGGACAAGAATTGGATACATTCGTCGACTTCTGCTTTTGGTGTGCGCTGTTACTTACCAGCGCGTGGATCCCATTCAGATGGCCACGATGCACCGGTAGACTGAAGCGGAGCGTCTTGATAGCAATTATCCGATGTGCCAATACCCCGTCGCTGTCTGTTACCGGTAGTGCTAGGCCGCGGGTCACGTACTGGATACTTGATTTTACAAGAGTTAACCGCTTTTGCCAGGGTTGTTTACCACTGCATATTGCTTTCAGAGCAGCAAATGTTTACCAGTACTCCCGCTCTCTTCGTACGACGTACTGGGTGATCGACAAGGTGTAACTGGTCGCCTTTGACGGCTCGTAGGTAATAAGCTTTTGCTAAAAACAAAGACCATGACTTGATTCTAAAGTCGGGCGTACATCACTAAGCGTTGTATTATACAACTTGTATAGCACTATGTTGTGCTACAGTAGACATTCGAACCACTTTAAAGGCTTCTGAGCACTGCTGAATAATGCATCGCCGTTGTGGAACGTCGTGTCTGCATGGTTTAATTTCGCAGCGTACCAAGTGCTGGCATACGTAGTGTCGAACTTTGACGGGTCCAAATCGCCAACACAGCTCTGCAACTCGACCTGGAATGGCAATTGAAGTTAGATATTGTACAAGCCCAGTTTGCAAAAAAGAGAAGATAAAAACACTGACAATGCCGTCGTTGTTGGACGAGTGGTGCGGGATAATTAGGCCCCCAACCAGCAGTCCAGCGTACTCCTTTGACAGAAGTCCGTTGGATGTCGTGCCACATACACCTGCAGTCACATACTTCTTGTGCATGGCACGAGCAGCAGCGTATCGAAGTGAGCACTCAGTGTCGCAGTAGACACCACCGTCGTACACTAGTGAGCGACGAGTTGTAGTTCCCGGGCATTGGCCGACCAGACCTCCGAATTTGGACAGAATGGTGTCTGCATTACCATCAACACCGCAAACCTGATAGAGAAAATCGGATCCCATGCTGCCCTTCATGGGTCCGCTAAGCGCAACCCAGTCCACATTGCGACCAATCGAACATTTTCCGCTTGCTAGAGCGCCAGCAAGCATGCTGTTGCCCATCGAGTGAGCCACAACAATCAGATCATTAATCTCCGAAGCCTCACTGTCCGTACGACCAGTAGTGACATTCATAGCTGCATCACAAGCCTTTTGTTGTAGCGTGTCGTTTTACCATTCGTAGCCCACCGTGTTTAGAACAGCGAAGTGAAATGACGAGCAGCACGGAGCGTGTTTCTTGATGTCACCAAAGAACGAGTACTCATCGACGATTCCTCCATCCTTCGTGACATCCATGCCGTGAAAGAAGAGACACGGACGAGAAGTTCCCCGACACGCACACGTGGAACTAGCGAGGTGTGCAGTCCTGGCTTCTGCCGTTAGAGCACGGCGTGAGTTTTTCGATGTAATTCCGTACAGGAGATCCAGTGAGGATAACTCCACGGAGTCGTGTGGTGCTGCTTGGCAGTTAGATGGGGAGTGCACTGGCTTGGTAATATTCACCTCGTCGGACAAGAACTCGAACGACACACTCAGGTCTTCACCATACACAATGAAGTTGCCGCCATTCGCCTCTGCTTCTGTAGTACACAGTACATAAGGCTCCCCGGCATAGGTGGTGCTGAGCCACGTGCCATTGTTACATGATATTTCTTGGTCTGTGTTGACGTTGGAGACGGGAGTAGCGGACGCGACAGCTTCGAAAATGTCGGACACGCTTGGAATATTATCGACGGGTAGGCATGCAGTTAAGTCGGAGCTGCCGGTAACTACTTCGTGGAAGGGAACGCCATCGATAAGGTAGAAGTTGTGGGTAACGCCGTCCTGCTCGAACGTAGCCTTGCCGTCGAAGATGACGTCGTTGCCGGTGACGACGGGCTTGACGTAGATATCAAAGGAGGTGAAACTATACATTGCCATGGTAGAACGGTGCACGTTGAAGCCGAGCTTGATTGACGGTAGCACGGATGTTGCGGTGGTGGTGTGAAGTTGCGAAAGTGTCGCCAGTGATGCCATAGCGGCAAAATAATAGCATGAAGCAACCATCTTGATCAACGAAGTGCTGAACTTTGTAAGCAAGTGTTCGGATTGAGAAATGAGATCCTTAGAGCGTTGGGCCCTTTGGGTATCCTTGTGGGGTGGGTAGACCACGCAAGGATACCTGGAGTGCTAACCACCAATTCAACACAAAGACTGCTTCTGATCCAGCTCCAGGGCGCGAGCAGCGCAATCGACCTCTATATCAAGAAAAACGGGCGTCGTACCATCAATACGGTTGTACTTGTGATAATTCATCTACATGTAGAATGAGGTTTTGCAAGCGATCTGCTCACCATTTAGAAAGTCAAAACTACTGTACATACTGCGCTCATGGGTAAAGCCCATGAGCTTAGAAAGATCTGCAATACGCAGCATACTGTGGCCATGAATAGACAGGACATGAACAGCTTGGCTTCCATAGCTGATCTGTCAGCATAAAACGCGTGAGTGGATACACGAAAGGCACCTACCAGGTGACCTGGTGCTTCGCTGTCCTGCTACTGTACCACCTAATTACATCGGATGGCCACGATGGCAAGTGCGTCGTCCGAGACAATTTAGTAAAATAGATTAGACTCTTGCATAGAAGTACCGTAATACATGTTGACAGTAAGTCGCGTGTACGTGCACTCGGAATCCTTGAGTAGTTAAGTACATTTTCACATCCTCCTTCGTTCTATTATTTTTTCAGTTTGTGTGGATTTCTTGATTACGCTTTACTCCACCACAGGTGTTTACCACTCGCTACATGTACAAATCACGTGAACTTGGGGTACAAGTTGGACCTCCTTCCAGAAGTCCTGGACCAGGACTCCTGGTCAAGCTACTTGATCGCCGTTGCACATTCCACGGACGGCATCGAATAAAAGCGTGCTGCCAATTTGGCAGGGCCAAATTACTCGAGCACTCACATACTTTTTAGTGCGCTGAAATAGCTGTCTTATGCGGGGGTGGTCATAGATTTTTACACCTCTGTATTGAGCTGTTAGATCGTCCACAGCAAGAGTCATTCCCATCGGGGAGGGGCTTACAGCAGCCACCGGATTCGTTCGGCATACAACCACTGCTCAACCAGCTCATAGCATTTCAGACATCTAGTATAATAACTTGTCTACATAATAAGTAGACTAAGCTCGTACGCATCCTGAGCTCCTTACCAGAAAAGCAAACTTAAGTAAGTTTTACTTGCTTAGCTACCTATAGAAGACACTCAAACCACTTGATAGGTCTCCTGCTAAGGCTAAACAGGCTGTCACCGTATCGGAAAGAGGAGTCGACATGATTCAGAACGGCCACGTAATACGAGCTGCTGGACGTTTTCGCGCATTGATCGACTTCGAGTCCCTCTGCCACAACTTTGATACTCATCAATGCCATCGTTCTGAGCAGATTTGTGCGGAACCACCTTGGCAGCGAGCGAGTATACCGCTCCTTGAATTGTAGTTAAACTGGTGTGATTCTCACTGCACAATACAGCGGAAATACTCGGCTTGAGCCGAAGCGAAATCTCTATCCAGTTTTGGGGTACTGTAGTTTGAACCTTGATACGCCAGCGAAGCTCGGCCTGGCTGGGGAGGGCAATTACCCAGCAAGTCTAAAACTGTTGCCACGATCATAGTTAAGTCTCCATCGCAGGTTCAGTAGAGATAGTTGGACCCCATGCTTCCTTCCAACGGCCCACTCGTACCAACCCAAGTTGATGACGAATCCAGAGTCGTTAGACTAGATGCAATTGCCCCGGCAAACATGAGGTTTGCCATAGAGTGAGTGACAATAATGGTATCCTTGATGTGTTTTGTAATTCTGTTGCTTGTCGTGCTCACATGCAGCAGCGAGCTCACCAGCCTCTTTTGAAACTTTCGTATATTATTCCAGGCATTCAATTGTGTCGCCAGCTTGATGAACTTCATGCTCAAGCAGCATGGCGCGTGGTCGGACATCCTCTCGCCGAATATTTTGTGGGATCATCCTCAGTCAGACCATAATCTTATAGGATCTAGACCAGCAACGAAAACACATGCTCTTTGTTTACCCTTGCACGAGCACTTAGAATTATTTTCTGGATAACGTCACCGAAGCCGAACTCGGTTTCTTCGGTATGTAGTGAACGGTATCCCCACTCAGAGACTGACCGTGCCAGCAGCGACGATACTGACGGGGTTATTCGTTTGCCAAACGGAACAGTACCGCAAGATGCCACGACATCAGATGCACCACGCGGGGCAGTAATTCTCGGTGTCGACTTTTCGTATTTCACGTCGATTGTTAGGTCGGAACCATGAATTTGAAAGCCATTTGTCGAGAAACCACGAGTGTCGAGAACATAGTACGTAGTTCTCATCTTCGAACTGGAATACTAATACGGATCCTCCAGGACACTTGTCTGCACTGCCAGACTTATTAGATGAGTCGCTGTGGAGGCTTCATGAATTGCTTTCAGGACTGTCGCGATTGGTGGCACAAAGTGAGAAGGGAGGCATCCCGACTCGAATTCTAACGCATTACCTCCTGTTCGCCAAGTGTAGTCCACGAGTGAGTACTCGCGCGTATCTCCGTCTTCCTCGAACGACGTTATTCCGTTGTAAGCCATTGCACCGTCATCTTGTGAATAGCTTGGAACGGGCGTCGCTAATACATTAACCCTTGACGCTCCAAGTACATACGTGGCCTTGCGCTTGAGGTGGAAAGTTAACCGAAGCGATGGTTGAGTCTGCATGCTTCGGAGAATCCGGTGCTTAGCAGTATGAGCGTGGAAATGGTGGGTGTAGCTTGTGAACGGAGTGACGATAAGCAGAACGACGACGGCGGAAGTTGCGGCGAATCGCCACAACAACCATGGTCGCCGTATAGAGTACTGGTGACCATGTTGCTTTGTTAACACTGTGGGTGTGAGGAGAACTCCGGAGTGGTATTGTTGTTGACGGCAAACTTGAACTTGAGTATTTGGTAAGGGAAAAACCATGTGATTGCTCGTAAGCCTCCTTCCCCATCCTGTTTGATATCTACGAGTACGTTTTGGACGTCGGTCTCGAGTCGAGACTCTCGACTTCTGAATCTTTGTCAAATGAAGTGTACAGTAATTAGACTTGTCCTCACCACCAGAACTGCAACAGTAGCCTCTCGCGTAGGTAGGCTCGGATAGAAACGCAGATAACCTTTTAATGCAAGTCCACCTACGCGAGCGCTCCGGACTTAAGTTATATTGGTTGCGGGCTCAAGCTAATACTAGTAGCGGACTCACGCTAATAGAGATGACTGGAATCATTCCATTGGAATGAAAGACAAAACGATTGAACGCCCTCGAGTAGACGAAATACTGTACGGTCCTTCCAATCACTTGATGTGGCCGTCATGATGCTGTATCCTCACTGTACTATTACGCCTTGTAACGCACTGTTAATGGATCTAGAGGACAAGATCGGAGCAAAAAGAGTTGGCATGGAGTACCCGCGATTACTGTCTAACTCAAATAACATGGAACCAAAAGTGGGTTGGCATAGCTGGTTAAATTGTCGTGCATCTGTACTCACCACCAATTCGACTTTTACCATCGATACAACAAAATTCTGTACTTCCACAACAGGTAACCGTGCTCCTGACCATGAAATCCCTACCATCTTTCTCATCTACAGGAGACACTCGAACCACTTCAACGGCTTCTTGTTATCGTTGAACATGCCATCTCCGTTTCGGAAAGACGTGTCCACGTGATTCAGGCCAGTTCGATAGTGCGCACTTTTGTAAGTATTGTCGAAGATATCCTGATTAAGCCCTATGGAGCAGCTTGTGTATTCCACGATGCCATCATTTTGAGAAGAGTGGTGCGGTAGAATTTTCCCAGCCAGAGCGTAGATAGCCGCCTTTACTGTCACCAAGCCTGAAAAGCTGGTGCTACACATGACAGCGTCTACGTTCTTAGCGAACGCATCTTGGGCAGCAGCGTAGGCATCATTCAACGGCTGCGACGAGAAGTTGGTGCCCTGGTAGGCAAGCGACGTCTCCCCAGTGTTCGTAGGACAGTTGCCCAGCAACTCGATGATACTGGCAACGAAGCCACTTTGCTGTCCATTGCACGATTCCTGGATGTAGTTGGAGCCCATGCTTCCTTCCATTGGGGCACTAGCAGAAACCCAAGTCGTCGACGGATCAAGAATAATCTTGCCGTTGGCAATGGCTCCCGCTAGAAGGAGGTTCGCCATCGAGTGACCAACGTAGATTGTATCCTTGATAGTTCCTGTTACCGGGTCACTTGTACCGCTCACCTGAACAAGCAGATCGACTAGCCGTTGCTGGAATACAGGGTCATTCCACGAGTTTTCCTTGGTGGCTAGAGTGATGTACTTCCTGCTTGAACAACACGGCGAGTGATCACCGATTTCGTCTCCAAAGTAGCCTTCCGGATCATCCTCCGTCAGACCGTGGTCGTCATATGAACTCAGACCAGCGACGAACACACAGGCGCGTTGAGCACCCTTGCAGCCACAGCTATCGTCAGTAATGAGATCCCAAGCACTATCGAAAAGACCCTCGGCTTCTTGAGCGCGAAGAGAGCGGTGTCCCCACTCAGAGAACGAACGAGTCAACATCGACGACAAAGACGGAGTGATACGCTCTCCAAACGGGACCTGTCCACACGAGTCCAATAACTCCGTTGACACGCGTGGAGGGACGATAACCGGAGCTGTTTGCTCGTACTTCACACCGACGTTTAAGTGCTTACCGAAAATCTGGAATCCGTCATCCTGAAGCCACGACTGGTCTGAGCATAAAACGAAGTCTTCGCCCGCAAACTGGAACACCATAACAGATCCACCGGGACACTTGTCGTTCGAGGCACCAGACTGCGTAGCGGTATTCGCACTGTGAATGGCGTTCAATACGCTCTCGATAGGCGGAACCGAGCCCGCAGGAAGGCATCCCGACTCGGCCTCCGATGCTGGGAGGCCATTAGAACGACGTGTGTAATACGTCGTGCCGTCCACGAGGGAGTACTCATGAGTGTGGCCGTCCTCCTCGAACGACGCCATACCGTTGTACACCATACTATGATCGTCCGCCGAGCGCTTTAGTGCCGGAATTGCGATAACGTCGAAGTTCGAAGCCCCGTGCACGTACATGGCCTTACGCTTGATCTCGAAAGAAAGTCGAAGTGCGGGTTGTTCCTGAAGGTTACGAAGAATGTGGTGCTTGGCGATATGAGCGTGGAAATGGGGCGAGTAGTTGGTCAACTGGGTAACTACGAGCAGCGCGCCGACCGCTGCGACCGCTACCAGACGCCAAGATGCCCATGGTCTGCGGTTAGACCGTGGTTTGTTCAGAGGCTGCTTCACGGCACCTTCTTCGAGACTCATTGCAACGCTGACTCAAAGCTAAACGAAAAGTGACCTCGATTCGACAGCATTGCACACAACGAATGAGCCTCGAATGTCGAGTCGAATGTCGAGTCGAATGTCGACGAGCCTCAAACAGTTGTGGTACAATAGAGAGCAACCTTCATCTACGATTTGCTAACACTAGATCTGACTATGGACTGACATCTTTTGGTTCACGGTATACATACGAAGCACTGCATCTGGCTCGGCGGAGAGCGAATTGGGGAACCAGTACGGGGCTGTGCTCAAGGAAAATGTTGAAAAGAGTCTCGACTCAACGGTTCCAGTTCTCGAACGTACAGTATGCAGCAACTTGGACTCTGGTGGAACAACTATCCCACGAAATTGCGGCTGAGCAAGATGGTAATAGCTTCTCGTTGCAGCAGTAAAGCATGCGGCTACGAGGAATATGATTGTGGAAGACATTTACATCCTTACCTATGGAGTTCAAGTAGGAAAGTCACGACCTTTACTGCGGTGATAAGAATCTATACATGTATATGGTACCTACTACGATCAGTGCAAAATCATTATATTGGAATGTGGTTGATAGCTGGATTGTTTTCAAGTGAGCTTTGGTGGTTCGAGGCTGCCCCTCTTCGTCCTTAAACTAAATAGTAACTACATCAACTAGAATAGCACTAAGATACTCTGACCAATATATCTTAATATATTATGCAATAAGGGCACCGGTGCCTATTATCGCGCACGAACAATTATCGCGCACTTGAAGCAAACCTTACGGAATTTCCCCATACTTTATTCCATATTAAAAATCTACGGGATATATGCTTGTCGAGCTATATTTGGCGATGCAGGCACCTTTGTCGGCCTGTATGCTCACCTATGCCGGCCTGTACGTCCATGCCGTCTCGCTTCCTCGCTCAGCAATGTTGTTGTTCATTCTCCAATTCATCCTGACAGCCCTAGCTGCCCATTCAACCTCAACTCCAAGGTATGGCGAAGACCATCAAGTCGAAGATTGTGCGTATCAGGAAGAAATGGACGCCAAGTACCATGAAAGCAGCTTTGACGGCGTATCGCCGTAGCCAGACGAAGGGCAAAAAGATGTCGATTCGTGAAGCATCTCGCATGTACAATGTGGCCGAGGCTACAATGCGAGACTATCTTGCAGGTCGGTCGGTAGTGGGAACTAAGTCTGGACCTCAAAGTGCCATCTCACCGGAAGAAGAAGAAGGTCTCGTGAAATCGCTGCTTGATCTTCATTCCAAAGGCTATCCTGCCACCCGTCTCCAGTTCAAGGCTCGAATTTTGGATGTTTGTCGCGACGGTAGAAGGCATCGGTTTTCGCGTTTAGGTCCGTCCGACAAGTGGATAGCTGCGTTTATCCTTCGGCACAGCGATCGTCTAAGCATGCGTAAAGCACGCATCTTAGACCGTTTGAGAGCGGATGCATTCGATGAGGACGAAATGCGATGCTTCTTTGCAGAGTATCAAAATATTCTGAAGGATAATCCGTCGATTGATGCGACAAGGATATTCAACTGTGACGAGACTGGAATGGATCCCCAAGGAGGGCCGCCTATTCGAGTGATAGCGAG